CAAATACAGCTATGACGACCGGGCGTTCTATTCGGGTGAAGACGGTAGTATGAAAGGTGTACGAAAGGCAGTTGGCCCCCCTGTTCTCGCTATTATTCTGCTTTTCATCTTTTCTTCTTCCTCTCCTTTCTGCTTATATAATTTTACTACTCTTCCGCTTCTTCTGCTTTTCATCCTCATCTTCTTCGTCGTCGACGTGCGTATGTGAGCGATCTATGGAGTTTGTCTGAGCAGGTGCTGTGAAGATTTTCAACGGAAGCGCAGACTCGTAGCCTCTTCGCTATAGTCTATTCTATTATTCTGCTTCTTTTTTTGTTTTTTTACTGGGACATACTTTTCGATTTATGCGTGTCATCCTTGAGTGCGCAGGGGCCATGCTAGTCATCTCTGTATCATTCCAATTTTAACGGATGTCCCGAAGGACTTCTGCTTCTGCTTCAGCTTCTTCCCTCTGCTTCTTCTTCAGCATTCTTCTTCTTCTACCCTCTTCTTCTTCCCTCTGCTTCTTCAGCATCCTCCTTTTTCTTCCTCGTCGGCAGTGCATGGGAGGGTTGGAAATGCCACGGGGCACGGGGATGGTTTCCCCCCTGACGAGGAACAGAGAGGGAGCGGGTGTGTTTTTCTGAGAGAAACTTGTTTATGCATGCGGAGTTCATAGCTAAAAACTAACACGAAGAGCGTGTACATGTCTGCAGTTTTGGCCAATGCTTGGCACTGTTCTTCTTCTTCAGCGTGCTGATGAGTTATCATCTCGATCTGTGAATGCGTGATCAAGAGCAATAGTAGATCAAAAGAGTTTTCCGGACTCAGGATACAGTCTAGGTGCAGCTTCGGCAGTTTTCTGAATTTAGACAGCATTATGGGTATGATACGCGCCTTTCAGTGCTTTGAAGATTCACCCCACATCAGCCGAGCTGAAAACGGTTGCAGAGAGAGCAGGGCAGCAGGTGGTTTCTACGTTACGTAACAGTTGCGCCAACAAAAAATAAAACGATACACGGCAGTAGCTACGAAAAAATGACACGTGGCATTAGGAACCAGAAAACAGACACGTGGCAGTCGTTTAAAAAATGTCACGTGGCAGTCGTTTAAAAAATGTCACGTGGCAGTCACTAGAAAAATGGCACGTGGCAGGCAGTCATTTAAAAAATGACACGTGGCAGTCAATAAAAATAGACACGTGGCAGTCATTAAAAGAAAGACACGTGGCAGTCACTAAAAGAAAGACACGTGGCAGTAACGATAAAAAGTGACACGTGGCAGTGACGGCAAAAAATGACACGTGGCAGTAGCGACAAAAGCGTCACGTCTGAGTAACTGGCGGGAGACCCGTCGCAGATGTTTATGAAACATAGCGCAGCGATGACTGAGGAAAGCCTCTCTTCTCTTTCCTTTTTTTTTACCCCCCCCAGCTCTTTGTGAGCTTTTCGAGTGATCGATGACGACGAGGGACGAATCCAAAAAAGAAGGCTCTAAAAAAAGAGGAAAAAAAAAGAAGAAAAAAAAAAGAAGGCTCTGAAAACCTTTTCGAGGATGTTACGCGAACGCGGCGATAATACAAGTAATACTTGGTAACGGTTTCGCTCCAAACTTTTTTTTTTTTTTTTTTTTTTAACCCCTTCTCTAACCGTATTGTACGACTCGAACTCACAATCTGTTTACTGTATCAACATTCACATGTGTACCATTCGTCCACATGGGTCGAGTCCAGCTCTACTGAGTTTTTCAGGCTGCCGCGCGAACGATAGCCGCCGGTCGTCGGAAGTCAGTGTCGCATGGTACCACCGCCTTTCACCCGAATAGAACACCCGGTCATTATAGCTGTATATGGGGCAACTTTCAGTCTAGATACAGCGATAATGACCGGGCGTTCTATTCGGGTGAAGACGGTAGAGCACAGCCGCTTGAGTTTCAGCGGGGGAGGGCGGGCGGAGTGTACAGACGCGGAAGTACGTGCGGGCGATATAGGCGGGGGGGGGGAGTACTTAAAGCCAGAACGACCCTCGAATACTGGTTTCTGGATTCAGGAGGACGGGTTGGG